CCAGTTTCATGGACATTGTATGGATTCGTGGCATCACAATATGGAGATGTGCAGGACATTCTGCGTAGTGGGTTAACAGTAGAGGCATTTGTGAAGCTCTACTTTGGATTTGAACATGACATGGTACCGATTGTTGGTGCGGTGGTTGTTGGGTTTGGCGTCATGTTCATATTTATTTTTGCCACTTGTATCATGATGCTCAATTTTCAAAAGAGGTGATAGGGAGAGGCAAATGTTCCCTTTCTCTTTTTTTTTTATGTTTTTTTATTATTTCCCATATTTATTTTTGGGAAGTGAGGGTTCGATGTGAGAATCTCATTAATGTATGAGCGAAATCTTGGTTATATTATTAATGATTCATTAATCGCAATTTCATTGTAAGTTTTGTTTGTGTGATGAGAAAAAAGGAACACACAAACAAGTAATTAAAAAGCAAGAAAAAGAAAATCTTGTTTATCATTCAAAGACATTTCTATTTTTCATTCTTCATTTCATTAATTAATTTGCATATGTTCTCTTATTATTATTAGGCAAAATACACCTTGATAGCCATAAGTATGCACTTTGTGACAATAATAACCAAATTTTAAAAAAATAGACACATATAGCCACACTTTTGAATGATAAACAAAGTTAACAATTTCTGTCTGAAATTTTAACACCGTTACTCTTCACATCCATAATGTTAAGATGATGGTGAGGTGGATGCCACCTCAGTTCACACATCAGATGCCACCTGGATGCCACCTCATATTAAATTAAAAAAAACTTAAATATATTTTCTGGGGACGTATTCAACTAGGGTAAAATACCTCTGGTACACTAAAGTATGAGAATTGGGGGAGTAATACCACTTAAGTTTGAATAGGGCGTCGGGTACCACTGAACTCTATTACATGTGCACCCGGTACCACTCAAGTTTACTACTAAGCGTGTTTCGTTAAAGTTGACAGAATATTCTTGGAATATTTCATTTTCTAAATTCCGAAAATGGTCCTTCTACTTCTTATTATTGTAAAAAAATCCTTTGGACTTATGAAATCATCATTTTTTTTATTGTTTATTTGGAATCTTCTTTTAAATTAGGTTAAATACACTTGTATATCCAAAACTTTCACGGTTGTGCCAATAATATCCAAATTTCCCGAAATACCAATTATATCCAATTCCTTCACATTATTCAACGGTGTTTTTGGATATACAAGTGTATTTAACCAAAAATATATTGGAAAATGGATAGAATTGGCAAAGAACAACTTTAAAACATGGATATAAGTGGTATTCCGGGAAATTTGGATATTATTGGCACAACTGTGAAAGTTTTGGATATACAAGTGCATAAAACCTTTAAATTATCATTATGTGTTCTAATAATTGAATTACTCCTTGGAGAAATATATTCTATGAATTTTATCACGATATAAATAATCTGAGGATGTTATATTTAGTTCACTTACATCATATTGATGTTGTCTAATTTTTTATTTAAATCTCCTTGTAATTCTATAATATTATATTCTAGATGTTCCATATTAGTTATATTTACTATTTCTAATTCTTTTCCTATAGTCATATTTTCTTTTCAATATTTGAAACTGAATGTTGTAGCTTTTCTATTTACTTATTACTTGGTTACTTTCGGTCTCATTTCGTTCTAATTTTTTTTAATTAATGAAATATGTATAATTTTCAAATTGTGTTTCATTTATCCTTCTTTGGTCTTGATGTATTAATGGTCAATAAGATTTTATTTTAACTGATTTTAATAGTGCTTTTAATTGAATTATGGGTTTAAATAGATCTTCTAATATTTATTTTAATTATAGATTATAATCTTTTAGTATATTTATTATTCCTTCTTGACATTCATTTATTATTTTTACTATTTTATCTATTATATTGAAATAAATTTCATTAGCAATTCTAGTAGTACTATGTTTAGATGGTTCTCTAATTTTTATATTAAATAATATTTGTTGAAATATAATTTTTGATGTTTTTAAAGTTTTGGGTACCAAAAGGTAATTAAAAGTTTGGGTTAGATGGAAAACTAGACGGATGCACATTTTGGAGATTTCAATGATACCGGAAGCCCACAACTTGTCGACAGATCTACAGACTAAAAAGTGGAATAGAGACGATGGAGAAGCACAAATCTGGAAATAGACCTCCCTCTGAGTCCGTCTGGATTAGTTGTTATTGCTGTTGGTGGATGACGATTGGCTGCTGTTGTTGGTGTTCGATCTTTGTAATTCTTTCCGGAACTACAATTTCTGTCGCTTTTGTTGTTGTTGAACAAAGGAAGATGGATATATACTAGATCTCTTTATCCACACCAGATCTTGTTGTGGGAGGTAAGGTGAAGGTAGAGGCTATGGAGGATGAGATTCAGGATGTTGAAGCCATCGTCGTTGTTATTGTCGTCGGCCTCCTCGTTGATGGAGCGGGAGATGATAACTTTTTCATGTTCTCTTTGTGGTTTCTGATGGCTCTCAAATTGATTGGGAAGCTCTGAATCACCTTGTAAAGCTTTCCAGTCCTCGCGCTATACTGGATCTCGGCGAGGAAGAAGTAGAAGAGAGAATCATATCCATGTCGACGACAAGAAACGAGAAAGGTAAAGCAGGGGAAGGAAGGAGAAAAGTTAATATGCTAACTTGAAGATTCGTTAGCAGATACTAACTGATATCCAAAATACATAAATTAATATTCAAGTACTAAAGTATCTAGAGAGCACGAACTAGTATTCAAAGTTTGCTAACTGATATCCACCATGAATCAACTATTATCCCAAATTCACAAACTAATATATAGACAACACAGAATAGTATCCAAACAGCACATAATTAGTATCCAGATAACACATAAGAGTATCCAGATAACCCACAAGAGTATCCATATTGAATACTAGTTGGTTGATTGTGGATATTAGTTGGTATCTACTATCTGGATATTAGTTTGTGATATTTTGAATACTAGTCTGTGCTATCTAGATACTTAACATACTTGGATATTAATTCATACATTTTGGATATTAGTTAGTATATACTTCAAGTTAGCAGAATAACTAGGTTGGAAGGAGAGGGTTTGGCGAGGAAGATAGATTTTGTTTTATTTATTTTTTTCATTTAATTACAATAATAAAACTAGCCATTTCCATCTGGTATTATTTTGGACGAGAAAATGCACCGTCACCGAAAACGTTAGTCCAGTCAGCATTCTTGATAATTCCTTTAAATGGACGGAATGTCTATTTTAGTGGATTTTTCAAAAATTGGCTATTATTGACACGAAGTGCTAAGTTATGGCTATGGATATGTATTTTGCCTTATTATTACTAGCATATATAACGGCCAAGTATGCTTAAGGGGACCCTGTGGTGTTTGACAAAGTTTACCATACGTCCAATACACGTTTGCTTAAGGGGTCTGATGAAAAATGTTTATAGTTGAACTCGAACTTATTGTTTGTCTATGTATTTGCATGGTTAGGATCAAATGCCACAGTTTGTTTATTTTGAGAATTTTTCTATAAAGCAATCTTAACACGTTTTCATACGTGATTAAGATAATAATTGATACTTTTCATTTAAAAAATGTAATTTGGTGATTTTCACAGTTAGAGTGTTATTAACTTGAGAGATGAAATGTACTATGGACCAATTAATGTACAAGGAAGTTTGACCAATTATAACTAAAACCCTATCACATTCTATTCAACGGAATAATAGGGTAGCTCATTTGGTGGCTAGAAATGAGTCGTCTCTTTGTACCTGACTATGAGTCGTCTTTTTGATTATCAGACCTGGCTGACCTCCAGGATGTAACTAACTTTGTTTCAATCTATATAAGATTATCTTTTGTCAAAAAAAAAAACGGAAGACATAGACGAGAGCCGAGATTTTGGTGTAAATCCATGTTTTTTCATTAAAAAAATTAAAACTAGTATTTTAGACACACCTACAAAAATTCTAATTGACACATTTTCTTTTCTGTTATTAAGTTAATCAAGAATGATCTTCAAAATTGGTCAATATATCACGGATTGTTGGATTGTATATATTGAGAAAGATTTGAGATAAAAAATAACATGAATGTATTTCACAAATATTTCATAATATAAAATTGTTTGCGACTCACTATGAAAAATAATAAAATTATAAACTCTATAAATTAGACTTTATTTATTATTTTTATCTACTAATACGCCTCTTCAAAAATTATGGGTCGGCCATTGATTCTATCGATTCATGACTTTCGTGTTAAGAATATTTAAGAAAAATATATATACATGAATAATGATGATATAACATACTTAATAATTTGAAAAATATTTAGCTCCAACCTTGCTTGAACTAGGAAGCCCACTATTGATATTTTATCTTTACTTTCACCTATTTTTAATGATTCTATTCTTTCTTTTAAAAAAGGTTGGGGAAACATAGATGAGCCCATCAAAGTCCATAGCCCGATGGGCTTGGAGCCCATTAATGACTCATTGGGGCATGACCTCGGTGGCACCAACGGTAAAGGGGCGCAAGACGACAAAATAGGCTCGTGGACAAAGAAGTACAGCTGAGAAGAGTCGGGAAAGCACCACGTAGGCGGATGGTCCCCCCATGCGCCCTGACACTAGAGCCGGACGATGCGCCACGTGTAGGCGCTCGGACGTTGGACCAGACCAGGCATTTAATGCTCGGCTGACGTAAGGCTGGGTGGCAGGAGTTGGTCGGAGCCTGGTCGGAAGCTCAAGTGGTATAAATAGCACTCGGTAGGTGGCATTTAAGCAAGTCGGTTTCTCTCACTAAGATCACTTGTAGCACTTATCTCTCTAGAATCACTATTGACTTGATCATCAGAGTGCTAACGGGCGGGTTGAGCCCTCTAGGCGCTAGTCTTGCAGGGTCTGGGCGCTGCTTTGGAGGGAAACGACGCATTTGGCGGAGGGAAGTATTGTGGCTCGAACAATTGGCGCGCCAGATAGAGGCGAGATATAGACGCATGGAAGATTTGAACGAGGGAAATGTAGGCGCTGACGATTCGAGAGTTGAGGACTCCAGTCAAGAGGAGAGCGGGCAGCAGTCTAGCCCGATGGTGAGCATGGAGGTAGAGGAGGAGGGTAGCCGTGAGCGCCCGTCGACCGAAAGCGATTCATTGTCGAAGAGAGAGCTGGTTAAGATCATTGCTGACCAAGACAAGGCAATAGCCATGCTTCGAAGGGAGTTAGAGGGAGGAAGGAGTGTTGATGCGAGGGAGTACAGCCCCCCGGTGAGGAAACAAGATAAGCTAGTATATGATTCGGAGGCTGGTGAGTACTGGCGCCCACACTATGAAGGGCCAAATGGGGACCACCCAAGCGTCCGGGCACGTGGAGGGCGCCTGGTGATCTTGCCACCCCAGGACCAGAGGAGCACAATCCTTGGATGCCTAGACGCCAGACCAGGCGCTTTGGGGTCAGGCAACCCCTGGTGCAGAGCGTCCTAATGGAGCTAGCAGGAACTACCCTCCCCCCCCCCCCCCGCTATCCAACTACGACGGGGTCACCGACCCAGAAGATCATCTGAATAGCTATTTCACGAAGATGCAACTGTACAACAGCTCGTACGCCACATTGTGCAAGGTGTTCCCCTCGACGTTTGCAGGAGTAGTTCTAGACTGGTATCATCAGTTAGAGGAGGGGCGCATCGAGTGCTTTGAACAGTTCGCGGAGTTGTTCTTGTCCAAATTTGCGAGCTGAAAGCGGCGGACGTTGACGATAGGCGCATTGTTTACAATCAAGCAGAGGGAAGGGGCGTCGCTTAAAGAATTCTATGATCGATGGATCTCGGTCGCCATGGACGTGAAGGATGTGCAACCGCCAGTCTTGAGGAATGTACGAATAGTGAGGAGCTGTGTCGGGTATTGTCCAAGAGAGCAGTCGTGTCAGCCGAGGACTTGGATCGGAGAGTTCAGAAGTTTATCGCTCTGGAGGAGACGTTGGCCGCAAGAAGGGCAAAAAAGAGGCGCGTGAGTAGGGATGATATTGAAGGGCGCCAGGCGCCCCGACCTTTCATTATGAACAATGCTCAGCAGAGGAGACCGAAGGGTCAGCGCCCCCCGCCCAGGAGTGCGGGAAATTTCACGGAGTACAATGATTCCTTAAAGAACATTCTGCAATATGTGAAGGATAGGGGGTACCATGTGTGTTGGCCGGGACCGATGCGTGGACAACTAAATGAGGGGAACCTTGACTGGTATTGTGATTTCCACCGGGACAAAGGGCATCACACGGCCGATTGCTATCAACTAAAGTCGGAGCTGCAGACTTTGGTCGACCGGGGGATGCTCAATGACTTTGTAAGGAAGACGGAAGAGATGACTCATCGCACGTATGTCACAAGGGAAACAAGGCCGACGCCTAATGCTCCAGCTGTGCCGAGGGCGCCCATCCTACCCACCATGCAACAGGCGCCTAAGGTGCCCCCTTTCGAGGTGAACCAAGAGGAAGAGCCCAGCCGGGTTAGGCTCACAGTGGAATCCATAACTGGAACCATCGACCTGCGTGATAGGTTAGATCGAAACAGGCGCCTTAGGGCCGCATCCATGGAAGCGAAGGCAACAGTCCAGATATGCTTCAATCAGGAGCCCGATGAGGCTTGTCAAGTATCTTCGGAGGAGGCTTTGGAGATTCAAGGTGTCATTGCAGGGTGCAAAGTCAAGAGGATGTTGGTTGACACTGGAAGCTCTATGGACGTTTTATTCAAGAGCACGTTTGAGTGCTGCAGTTGGCGTCGGAGTTAGTGAGCCCCTCCGACTCAGTGCTGATAGGGTTCTTAGGGGCACCAACCCGTGTGATTGGGTGTGTGCGCCTCCCGGTAACGTTGGGTGATGGAATGCATCGGGTGACGCATGCGGTGAAATTTGGGATAGCGGATTTCCCCTCACCATATAATGTCATACTAGGAAGGCCCCTTTTGGCGTTATTCAATGGTGTGGCCTCCACTTGTCACCAAACGTTGAAGTTTATTGCAGCACAAGGCATAGGAATCTCACGAGGAGAGAACGCCCCACGCTACGCGCGAGAGGAAGAGCTGAGGAGGAGGAGCGTCAGGAGGCACAGGGTGAACAACATAGACATTCGCCCGGAGGAGGCTCCTAGAGCGGAGCCTGTCGACGACGAACTAAGTGTGCTGATCGAAGAAGGGCGCCCGGACCGATAGGTACGAGTGTCGGCACAAGCCCCCGAAGACATGAGGGCACCCTTGATAAGCTTATTGAGGTAGTTCGGGAAAATTTTTGCGTAGAGCCCACAAGACATGCCAGGAGTGTCCCCGGATGTAGCGGCGCATCGATTGGCTGTCGAAAAGGGTAAGAAGCCTGTTCAGCAGAAGCGACGAAATTTGACTCTCGAGAAGGAGGAAGCCCTCCTGAAGGAGGTCGATAAGTTCCTCGAGGCCGGATTCGCAGAGGAGGCCAGATACATCACGTGGCTGTCAATTGTTGTGTTCGTCCCAAAGCCGTCGGGGATTGGAGAATGTGCGTGGATTTTACCAATCTTAACCGGGTGTGTCCAACTAATGCCTACCCAATGTCGCGCATTAATATGCTCGTGGATGCTACGGCTTACCATGAGGCGCTTAGCTTCCTTGACATGTTCTCAGGGTATCATCAGATCCCCATGGTGGAGGAAGATAGGGCAAAGACCGCTTTCATGACACCCTTTGGCAACTTCTGCTACAAAGTGATGGGGTTTGGGTTAAAGAATGTAGGCGCAACCTACCAGCACATGGTAAATCAAATCTTCCGTGGGCAGTTGGGACGGAACGTGGAAGTATATGTTGACGATTTGATTTTAAAGAGCAAGAGGCGCCAAGACCACATCATGGATTTGCGGGAGACATTTGAGACTATGCGCCTATTTAAGCTGCGACTTAATCCGAAGAAGTGCGTGTTCCTAGGAGAAGCTGGTAAATTTTTGGGCTTCATGATTACAAGGAGAGGAATTGAGGCCAACCCCAAGCAAATTGAGGCAATTATGAAGTTAGCGCCTCCCCGAACGCCAAAGGAGGTGCAAGGGTTGATAGGAAGGTTGGCAGCGCTTGGGCGCTTCATTCCAAGAGCCTCCGATAGAGGTGCCCCCTTTTCAGGGTCTTGAAGAAAGCTAGCAAGTTTAAGTGCACGGAGTAATGTGATGAAGCCTTCGAGGATTTGAAGAAGTTGCTGACAGCGCCCACGGTGATGACCGCTCCCAAGGCCAAGGAAACGCTATACTTGTACATTGCAGTCTCTCGGATGGCTTTGAGCGAGGTATTAGTATCCCGGGACCCGTCGACGAATGAAGGAAGACCGGTTTATTATGTAAGTTGTACAACGATGGGCATGAAATGAGATATGCGCCCATCGAGAAGGCGACGCTGGCAGTGGTAATGGCGGCGAACAAGCTCCAACCTTATTTCCAAGCTCATAGTATTGTGGTGCTCACAAATCTGCCTCTCCAAACGGTCCTTGGTTCCATGGATGTGTTCGGGCGCCTGGTTAAGTGGGTTGTCCAGCTCAGTGAGTTCGATGTAAGCTATGCGCCCAGGTTGGCCATCAAGGCTCAAGTGTTGGCTGATTTTGTGGCCGAGGGAGTGGTTGATGTGGGAAGTGGCGGGGAAGAATGTTGGCAAATCCAAGTGGATGGAGCAGCAAGCCAGGCAGGCGCGGGAGCCAGAATTGTCCTAATTAGCCCACTGGGCGCAATGCATGAGGTCGCCTTATGTTTTGCAACTCTCAAAACAAACAACGCGTCGGAATATGAGGCAGTCCTCGCAGGACTCCACATGGCAAGGGAGTTAGTCGCCCAGAAGGTAAATGTTCAAACTGATTCGGCGCTCATGGTCAACCAGTTGAATAATGTGTATGAGGTGAAGGAGGAGGCGCTGGGAGCATACGTTCACTCAGTTAGAGAAAAGTGTGCATGGTTTCAGGATGCTACGTTCACACATGTTCCAAGGGAGGAGAACGCCCATGCAGACCACCTGTCTAAATTGGCCACGTCGTTGGATTTTTGAGAAGATAGAAAGGTGATCGTCACCAAGGAAGTCCCGCGTGAGGAGAGAGTGATGGCGTCTATCTCTATGGGAATGATGGAAGGATGGATGGCACCTATCATGCTTTTCCTAACGCAGGGCGTGGTCCCGGAAGATCCGAAAGATGCTTGGCGTTTACGAAAGAAAGCAGCCCGATGTGTTGGTATGGAGGGAGTGTTGTACAAGATATCCCACTCGGGCACCTATCTGCGTTGCCTCACCGAAGCGGAAGGACAAAGGGCCATGGCGGAAGTGCAACGAGGAACGTGTGGAATGCACGCAGGCGCTCGCAGTCTGGAGAAGGTATTGCTTATACAAGGATATTATTTGCCGACAATGAGGGATGACGCTGGAAATCACGTGGCCACGTGCCACCAGTGTCAAATCCATGCCAATGATATACATATACCAGTGGCGCCCATGCAAGGGAATGTAGGCGCCTGGCCTTTCGCTCAGTGGGGGATGGACCTCCTTGGGCCCTTCCCCAAGGCGCCTGGACAATTCAAGTACTTAATTGTTGCCATCGATTATTTCACAAAGTGGATTGAAGCAGAACCACTTGCGTCCATCACGGAAGTGCAAGTGCGAAAGTTTACAAGAAATAACATCTTCACAAGGTTCGGGTTGCCGGAGTCGATCATCACCGATCACGGAAAGCAGTTTGATTGCAAAAAGTTCATTGACTTCTGCGACGAAAATGGAGTGGTCCTTAGGTTCTCTTCTGTAGCTTATCCGCAAGCAAATGGAAAAGCTGAAGCAGCCAACAAAAGTATATTGCATGGGCTACACACCAGGCTCGAAGAAGCCAAGGGAAACTGGGTAGAGGAGCTACCAAGTGTGTTATGGGCGCATAGAACCACCTTCAAAGTGGCAACAGGTGAAACACCCTTTGCGCTGACGTATGGAAGTGAAGCGGTGCTACCGGTAGAAGTTCGCATCCCGACCTTTCGAATGGCGCATAAGGAGGATTCCATGGAGGAGCAGGAGCGGATCTATGAGCTTGATCTCATCAAGGAGAATAGCACCCTAAGGTTGTCTTTTTTTTTAAAACGGATTATATATACATACATACTTTTGTGATGAATGGCAAAGCAGTATATGGTGATGCAGAATGAGAGTCAAGCGCATTGCATGTCTTTAACTATCCTATGCGCACCAAATTATTGTGTCCTTAATGCGCCCAGCACCCATAACCCGCCCTCGCACCAAATTATTGTGCCCTCAATTCTCCCATAGCACCAAATTATTGTGCCCTTAATGCGCCCTTCCTTGCGCCCAAATCATTATACCACTTATGCCATAGCAACAATATAAGAAGACGCGGCAATAAAACCTTAAATATGCCAAGACGCTTGTTTTTACGACAGTGAGCAAAATAGAAGACAGGCACAAAAAGATAGGTATGGCAAAACATGCAAACAACAGGCGCCCCATTGTTTATGTTCAAGAGCTAAATAAAATTATGCCATAGAATAATCCTAGTCCCCGCCAGCTGACTCGTCGCTCGACTCTGAACTTGACCCCGAGTCTTCTTCTTCGTCCACCGGATTTTGAGGAGGCGCAGGAGCTTGATCCACGACTGGGCGCACGCTGGCCATGTAGTCAATGACGAAATTGGCCATCTCCTTAACATCCCAGCTGATAGTGGGATGGTAAGCCTCCAACTTCCTCTTCAAAATGAGGATGCTGTTGAGGGATGCCTGGGCCTTAAGCGCCATGTCCAAGGTAGGCGCCTCCGATGTCGCTTTCTCTTTCCTAAGCGCATCCAACTCCTCTTGGCGCCTCTTATTTTCTTTCTCCATAACCTTCTTCTCCTTTCGCAAAGCTTTCTTTTCTTGAAGGAGGAGGTCAATCTCGCTCTTTTGGGCGCCCATCTCCTTGTCTAGGTCGGCCTTATCCTTCATGAGCTTGGCCATCTCCTCATGATGCGCCCTCTTGACAATCTCATCCTAATGATGCGCCCTCTTGACAATCTCAAGTTGGGCTTCATGCTCTAGCCGCAACTTCCTCTTGTCCTCATCCATCGCTTATTGGACGAGGGAAACAGCCTTTGCGGCCTCAAGATTGGCATCCTCGCACGCCTGCACAAGCTCTGCTTGGCGCCTCTGCGCCATCTCCAGGTCGTCCCGCATAACTCTTAGGGAAGCCGAGCCTTGCGCCTCTCCAACGCGTAGCGCCTCACCAGCCAAGGCGCCATTCTTTGCAAGCAGGAGTATCTAAAAAAAAAGTCAACAAACATGTGCACAATTCGAAAATAAAGAAAGCGCGTTAGGCGCATACCTGGGCAGCCACGCTCGCCACTTCTACCCACAGGTTAGCGCCTTGAACTTCACTAGGCGCCCTCAACACCTCGGCTGCTTGAAAAGCAAACCCAAGCGTCGGGCCCCTCTCCAAGGCAGACCTGTCCGAGCAAGCAATGTCGACCTTGTGTTTGGGTGGTTGCAGCCACTTCTCCACGAACTCGGGCACTTGGGCCTCCGCGCTTGTGCGTTGCTTCTTGCTATGCGCCGGCACATCATTTGCAGCCTTCCTCTTGAGTTTTTTGCCAAGGGGGACGTCGTCAATGTCCAACTCGGGGTCGGAAACAACGTCAATAGAGAGTGTCCCCTCCCCCGGTTGCACATATGGAGGCGCATCCTTTTCCTCCACGAGCGGGGCGCTTGCCACTTTCTGCGGCTTCATCTTTTTGGGGCTTGAGCGCCCCTTTCCTTTGCCTGCCGAGGCGGCAGGAGCGTTTGCGCCAACTTGGGTCTCCGCCCCGGCCGAGGAAGACTTAGCTTTTCCCCTCTTTGACGAGCCTTTCTTCGGGCGGGAGGGCGCCTTGCCTTGGAAAACAGGCGCTTGATAATCTAGACCCATGTTGTCAAGCAGGGTCTTCATCAGCGAGGCGATAGAGGTGAAGTCCACGCCTGCGACAGAAAATACACGATTCAACAAAGTTACAATAATTTCATGCATAGACAAAGTAGCATAGGCGCGTGTAATTTGCGGCAACACAAATACGCTACTAAGCGCCTACCCACCATCGGCATAATACTCATGCAACACAGGGGTTCGAGCGGCTGTGGAACTTAAGTTCACTGGGTGAAGGGAAAGTAGGCATGCGTGCTCCTTCTCAACACTAGTTAAATCCACGTCAGCGTTGAATTTCGCGGTACGCCAATTTTCCAACGTCGGGTGAAGCAAGCGCCACTCTCATAAAACGAATCCGTGCGCGCCGTAATGAAGAAGTAGGCCCTATACCATTCCCGCCCCAACTTCGGACAATCCTCTACAAAATGTCCAGGAATGTCTAGGCGCCTCTGTAAGGACAGGAAGTTGTCACTGCTGGTCATCGTAAAAAAATATCGAAAAAGCTTGAACGTGGGCGCGATATTGTTTTGACAACACTTCAGCCTAAACAAGATATGTATCAAGCAAACTGAGGGCGATAGGCGCCAAAGTGAACAGGCGCATGTCTCCAGAATCCCTTCTAAGATTGAATCCAGGGGGAAGCACAACCCGAACCTAAAATACTCCCTGTATATACCAAGCCAACGCGAGCCAACCACCCCCACCCCGGCAACCGGGGAGGTGGGCGCATAGGCCCAGGTGCGAGGCATGTTGCACGAAAAAATCAGCCGATACAGTTCAGCTATCTTGACAATAGACACATGTTTCGGCCCGGCTCTGGCCACATATAACTTGCTGGTGCTCTCAGGCGCTCCCCCTTGGGGCCATGTGCCTTCCCAATCTATTATCTTGAAAGACCTGTCTTTAGGGGCGCCTAAATCAGTGGATGCCGGAGAAATCGCCAATTCACTCGACTCTGACAAGGTAGGCGCGGAGCCTTAAAGTGATCCAACCGTCCTTGGTCAATAATACGAGCCTAAGACCGCTAGTGGGCGCCTAGCAACGGATCAAAGCAAATACAAAAAGTTCAGAGAGGAAAGGGACAAGGAAAATTACTCTGGTTGGTGGTGGAGGGCGCCTAAGTAGAGGTTTCAGGCGTCTTCGAGGCCTTGGCAACCGCGGGCGCATTCAATGCTTTCGTAGTCGTTGGCGCCTCTGTTTCGATGGGCTCAGATGGGGATGGGACAGATGTCGCCTTCTTAGGCGCCTCTTTCTTAAAGCGAGGCGCCCGCGGTTCGTGATCCCGAAGGGGGTCTGGGGACAGATGCCCCTCGAGCACCTTAATCACGTCGGGATCGACGCTTCCCGCCTTCTCGGCGGTGGTGTTGGTTGCGCCGGAATCAGATTGAGACATGTTTGGTGAAGGAGGCGCATAGACGGAAATCTCTTTGGGAAAGGAGGCGCACAGACAAAGGAGAAGCAGAGCACGAAGAGAGAGAAGCTAAAGAGAGAAGCAAATTCGGCGTAAATGAGGAGGATAGGGGAAGAGGGTTTGTATTTATAAGAGGGGAGACGGGGAGTCTATCTCGAGATGCGCACTCGCTGAACGGCTAGATCCTCGCCGTTCGTTCCGAAATTTGAATTTTGAATTCGAATTTAGGAATTCAAAATTTGAAACGGACGTCGAGGGGGGAGAGAGGTACGGTCATGCACCTTATTTTATTCAAGCAGGTAAAAGGTCACAAACAGGCGCCTGGCGCGCCTTATTTTCATTCAGGGAGGTAAAGGGTCGCAAACAGGGAGGTGAAGGGTAAAAATCATGCGCCTGTGTCAATGAACACAGTTGTGGGATCGAGGGTAAGCGCCCTACGTTGAAGGGGAGGTCAAGCATTGGTGGAGGCAAACAGGCACATTGGACATGCCAGGTTCAGCTCAAAGGGCCAAGACCAGATGTCAAGCGCGCAAAGTCGCAGCACATGGCGTGGGGGGCAAAGTGGTGCCAGGCGCTTACTAAGAGTCCAGGGAAGGGCGAATGATGAACGTGTGCCTTAACAGAGTCCCACGCGCCAAGGTATTTCATTCATAGTTAGGCACTCACCTGTGAGCACCTAACTGGGGGGAAATTGTTGGGGAAACATAGATGAGCCCATCAAAGTCCATAGCCTGATGGGCTTGAAGCCCATTAATGGCTCATTGGGGCATGACCTGGGTGGCACCAATGGTAAAGGGGCGCATGACGACAAAATAGGCTCGTGGACAAAGAAGTAAGGCTGAGAAGGGCCGGGAAAGCACCACGTAGCCGGATGGTCCCCCCCATGCGCCCTGACACTAGAGCCGGACGATGCGCAACCTGTAGGCGCTCAGATGTTGGACCAGACCAGGCATTTAATGCTCGGCTGACGTAAGGCTGGGTGGCAGGAGTTGGTCGGAGCATGGTCGGAAGCTCGAGTAGTATAAATATCACTCGGTAGGTGGCATTTAAGCAGGTCGGTTTCTCTCACTAAGATCACTTGTAGCACTTGTCTCTCTAGAATCACTACTGACTTGATCGTCGGAGTGCTAACGGGCGGGTTCAGCCCTCTAGGCGCTAGTCTTGCAGGGTCTGGGCGCCTGCTTTGGAGGGAAACAACGCATTTGGCGGAGGGAAGTATTGTGGCTCGAACAAAAACAATACTGGGATTAAAAAAAACAATACAATATATACCTGACGGAAATGGAAACGAAAGTTGCAGCCCCCTAGTGAGAATAATATTTAATCTTTGATTAGAAAAAAATATGCTTGATTATTTGATAATTGAAATAAAAAAATTCTTGTAGTACTATACATGCATTACAAGACTTGATATGAAGCTGACAAATTAAAATAAAATTACAATGATATTTAACATACAATAGCAGTAGAGAGTTCAAATAGTAAATAGTTCATAAATAACTCATTCCCAGAATATTCTTACATAAAAATGGGAAAAAATATCTTGTCCAAAATAGTTCATAAAAAATTCCTTACAAAATAGGAAACATAGAGAATATTTAGTTGCAACCACAAACTTAATATTATAACAATTTCATATCATCGAAATGAGAATCTGCTATTGCATGCTGCAAAATGAAAAATTGAAATCAAGTTAAATTAATAATAAATAAAATGATAAGTATAAATACGAATTATTTATATAAGTGTAACAATTGAGTGTATGACATATGAAATGAAAGATATTCTCGAGTCAACGCGCTTTTCATAAATATATATTGTTGGTGTAGTAATCGAACTTTGAGATTCGTTTTGTGCAATGACCGCTTAAAAGATATAAAAGCTATATCAATAAAAAGAAATGTATACAACTTCATAGAATAAAACAACTGTACTATGTATTTTTAAACAAAATAAAATAAGTTGAAACAACAAACATGATCATTTTGGATTTGCACTTCAGGATAACTTTCAATTTGTCAAGAATAACCAACTTTTATCTTCTTACTCTATATAAATACAAGGATTACTTAAGAAGACAAACATATTGTACAGCTAGTAAATTACCCTATATAAATGCTCTCAATTTGTCGCCCTTCTCAGAGAATCAATATAATTGTAGTGTCCAGAAGTCCATTGTTCTCAACCCCCTCCCTCGCATTGCAAGTAAATTAATAACAGACTTGATTGTAATTTCCCTGTTGCTGCTCGCTATTGGATTTTCTCGGCAATGATATTTGCAGCTTCTGATTTTGATCTTTAGAAGGATAAATAAACCTAATATAAGGCTAATAAAATTATATTCTCACAAGATGGGGTGCAACTTCAGTTTCCATGTATATATATGGTTTTTTTTTCTTGCTTTTTAATTCCAATTTTGGTCTATTTAAGCAAGAATTAAATCATTAAAAATGGGAGAAATAATGGTAAAATAACCAATAATAGGCTGCAAAGTGGCTGGTTGGAGCTAAATATTTTCTAAAAAAAAGTACCGCCAAACATAATATTCCAATAAATTAAAATTGAGTATTTAAAAAATAATTTTTGTACATTCAAATAATGTTTTTAGTGGCGGATAATTCATTGGTGGTATATACTATATTTTAGGAGACAAATATTTTATGTGCCGCTAATATTAGCTGCTAAAAGTTAGTTTTCTTGTAGTCATGGTAGTCAATGTTTTGAAGAACCAATGCATGGTAGCGGGATGAGAAATCATGCATGCTTTGGCACTGAGAATATCAATGATTGTTCTAAGGCAGGATGAGAAATCACGTATAGATAAATAATGGATCACAAATCAAGAGACTACTTGAGTTCGTTTACCAAGTGTGCCACGGCTAAAACCAATTCTTCATAACTATTGGTGACATTATGAGAATCGCGCATGGATATGGATAACAATCATTGCATGGGAGAGAGTGAGCATGTTTCCTACTAAGGTTGAAGCTTGATAATTCAAGCACTTCGATCTCAATTCGATGTGTTCTTATAAACAAAGTTGGTGTGCACTAGGTGAAACCATCCTAGACATCGTACTCTTTACTATGCCTTTCACTCGTTTCCAAGAACTACTTTTACTTTCTGCATGGTAAACACGATAATAAAATAACCCTAAACCCATCTGAAGAAATATCAAACCCCTAATAGTGATTAATGAATATAAATTAGAGGCATTTTTAAAGGCCTTGCACTATACTGACCTAGACATATGTTAAAGGTACAACTTCAAGTTGTACCATAAAACAAAACTAAAGCACCAATGCTTGGCTCGTTTGCTTGAGTCATTTGTATGAGTCACTCAATTGGGTCATTTGATGTCAAATGACTCGTTTGCTGAAGAAAAAACGCATGAGTCATTTCGTCCATATGAAAGTCCCAAATGACTATATCGAGTCATTTTCAAATGACTCATTATTTAGTCAAAATGTTCCAACTATGTCCTTGCCTATTTTATGTAAACCCACTTCTATCCTTCTCTTTCTATATTTTGTTTTCTATGTTATTGCTACGTCTTCTCTCGAAATTATTATTTTTTTCTTCCAAATTTCATTAACGTTACAAAGGGTTGGTCATCTACGTAATGGCGCATCATTTTCGTTCACAAACACTATCATTTGTAATTAGCTTAAAATTTGACTTATGGAGGCGTTATCTTTTATAAAGAAAGTTAACATGTAATTATTATTTAAAATTAAAAGTAGTATTAGACATGGCAAAACACCCAAATAACATGCTTTGTTGGTTGCAAATTAATTTTGTTTATGTAGATGGTTTTATTAGAATAGAAAACAAACTAACGGAACATATTACATGTAAGGGTAAAATGGTAATATTATACAAATAGCGCATTTAAAAATGACTCGTCTAAAAACTTTTAAACAAACAATTCATTGTACTACGTACATTTTCAAATGTCTACATTTCTCAAATGCCTACATTTAGACAAATGACTCGTTTTGTAAATGCTTCATGCAAACCACCCCTTAAAGTATAAAGTATAGTAAAATTTCTCGTACTACAAATGTTTCACGTGGTCTACGAAATGCCCACAATTTATCTGGGCTTGTCTGTCCACATAGGTTATTTATAGACAGTATAGTGGAATACTCTTCGTGTAACGTGGGATATGCTATATGGATGATAACATGATGTCAAGTTGAAAAATGTGGCAAATATCCATAATCCAGTGGCACTGGGTCGATCAAGGATGGCCATCACCTCTAGATTGTAAAATAGAGTGAATTGCAAGTTTGGTAACTAGAATTACTAAAATGTTTCACTTTCGCCACTAAAATTAGTTTATTCCATTTATGGTTACTAAAATTAGTTCAGCAATTTAAGTTTAGTTACTCTCTGTTAGTCTCTGTTAACTTTCGATGATGTGGGAGATCAAAAAAAAACTTTCGATGATGCGGCAGGCAACTTAAATAGTTGACCGTTAAATGTGTGATGTGACAATTAAAAAATTAATCTTTTTATAATTTCCACCTCGGTCAATTAAAATAATAAATATTATAATTTCTACTCCGTTGCCCTCTTCAGCAAAGCCTGCAAGTGCTACTAGACCGGCCGAGCCGGCACCCTCCGCATTGTCCCCGGCGGCGGCGGCGGCTGCAGGACGAACAAGCGCCTCAAGCGCCCCTCCTCCATTGGCAGTCGCAGTAACTCTTCCCTCCCTCGTCCACCAACTTCCTCCTCAGTCGTGATAAGGGAAAACCCTAGTAGCAGCGGCCGCCACCAGTTGCAAATCATCAAATAACCAGCGACAGCGGGTGCCTTTTCTGACGACGGTGGCGCGGCCCTCCTAATAATAATAATCCAGCTGCAACGACGGACACGATTCTTTCTCCAAAAATGGCGACCTTGTTGGCGTCCACCCTAAACAACAAGTTCTCAGCCGCTTTAATTTACAAATGGGTATCATCATCATCCCCCCACAAATGGGTATCAAAGAAATACCCAAATTTACACGATGTCAAGGAGAAAGTTGTTCGCTTTAATTTACAGTGTAGTATACTGACCTTGTTTCTGCATCTCAAAGGTTCTATCTTTAAACGGCTGAAACTGCAAGAACTGGAACTTGAGATCTATAAGGCTGAACCATGCATCGAATATCCTGTTGGGACTTTTAGGGATGAGGGTATACGTACGATAGCCCGAGACCGGGTGATCAGGATTGTGATAGAGTCGTGAACAACGTTCACTTTCCGAAAAGAATATTTCACCCTCAACAAGCCTAGGGTTACAGGAAATTTCTCCCGAGGATAAAACTATCACCACTTTAGTTTCCAGGCTCAAGAACACTAAAGCATACTTAGAAATTTTTGGAAGAAAGAAGAAGAATCTGTTTGATCGTATGTGGCATCATCCACCCCACACATATTTATAGGGGCCGAATCCATGCATTGTTTCATGAAAGGTTGCCTTTATCCATACGAAAGGTTGCCTTTATCCATACGAAAGGTTGCCTTTATCCATATGAAAGGTTGCCTCTATCCATATGAAAGGTTATCCTTATCTATATGAAGGTTTGCCTCTATCCATAAGGTTATCCTTATCCATAAAATAATGCAACCGCCACTAGGCCAAAGGGATGTGTCCCTTCACGAATTAGAATATCGGTTCGGTCGGTCTAATCCCAAACCGGTTGGTTGGTCCAACCCAAAACCGATTTGACTTGGTTAGTCCGGTTCAACCAAATTTCCAACATATCCTCCCGCTAACCGGCTAGATGGTGGCTGCACTTGAAGCGAAATTGGCGTCGTGGGTGAACATCATCATTGTGGAGGGCGACTGCTTCTTATTCTCGACGAGTTCGCTCAGCAGAAAGCTGGTTGACTCGTCCCGAATATCACAATAAAATTTCAAATTAAGGCCCAAGTATAAACTTAATTGGGTGCAATATAGGGCAAGTATGTTTAAATGTCAATCAAGGTTGATCCATGTACCCCTACTTCAATTTTTTGTAACATTATCTAGTAATTGGTTTTTTGTGACAACAACGATCTATAGCTAAAATTTTTGGAAAAATAAATGAATTTGACACTAATTGTGAAGGCTTCACCCGGGTGTTGCTCCCCCTAGCTAGCAATTATGACTTGTCGGATCGAATAAACACGTGTGGTGAGGAGGTTGTAAACCATAGGGAAGTGCAACAAGTGGACAAATGCCACTCTCTCGGTCAATAGGTCAAGGGAATTCGATTCAAGCCACCAACCCTAGGTGCTAATACGAACAAAGAGGGTTTCCCTACATCATTAACCTAGATAGGAGACAAGATTTGCCTAAGAAAACCTAGCTTTACAAGCCTCTTTCAAAGAAAAGGGGTTTTCTCTCTAGCTAGGTTAGAATGGCAAATAGAAGCAAACACACAACACAATCTTCCATGAAAATACCTCCAAATTCATATTAAAAACATCCACACATAAATCATTCAATCCATACAAACATTCACATAATTGTAGCTAGGGTTTACAAACACCCAAGTGAAATAAGGGACTACTCCATGCTAAAAGAAGAGGAAACACAAGAGAGAAGAAGGCAAACCATCATGGAGATACTAGCCTTGCTCCTTGTGTTGAAGAGATCCTCCTTTGGAGAAGGAATTCCCAAAACTTCGCTTGAAGATGAAACCCTATCTTCTTCTCTTCTTTGGTTCGTCACTTTCTCACTCTACAAATCTGAAGAAGAAGTTTCTCATACTAGGTCTCTCCTCCTTTCTCCTTTACTGTGGTAGTGAGGTGGAAATTATAAGAAGATTAAATATTATTTTTATAATTTTTAATTGCCACATCACACATTTAACGATCAACTATCAAAGTTGACTGCTACATTTGCAAAAATTAACGGAGACTAACGGAGAGTGCCCAAATTTGAACTGTTGAACTAATTTAATGACCATGAATAGAATAGACTTATTTTAGTGGCAAACGTGAAACATTTTAGTAATTCTAGTGACCAAACTTGCAATTTACCCTTCTAAAATATATCTATTTCAAATCCTGAATTTTGATATTTAACGAGTAAGATTTAAACATGTTTCACCATCAACACATATTATTATTTTTCCTGTAAGTACAGGATGACACTTAAGCCTTTTGCTATTACAAAACGAAAATACTAGGTAGCTAGGTAATTCAGTACTGACAATGCATGATGTAATTTACCCTACTTTAGCAATTACCAAGAAAATATCAATACAGAGGAAACCCAAGCTGGAAGATGAACACCCTGTCCCAGCTGGTAATCGAGCAACCTCCATTTACCCACCAGACAACTAACTAAAATCCACCATCTTCACCACTAACAGCCTAGCCTAAATACAGTACTGTTCCAAAATATTGGTGAGAAAGCACGCATGCATGCATAGACTCACAATTCATATAATAATGGAACATATATATCATCTCCTAATTTTCGATCCTACGATTTCATATATTATTATTATTATATATATATATATAGTAGCTTGTACGTATAACGTACAAGTACTTATTAGAGATCATACCAACGAAACCCTACTTGACCACCTAATCCCAACTTCAGCTCCAGCTCCACCGTACCACTAATCATGTTTCCACCACTATTACCACCTCCGCCGCCGCCGGCAGAGCTGGTCATGACGTCATGATGACTATTACCGCCACAGCTGCTGCTACCGAACAGCTGAGCAGTTGACGTCACCACCGCGCACTTGTTGTTGTTGTTGTTGTTGTTGTCATTGTTGCTGCTGTGATTGCCAGCGCCGCGGTTCTTGCTGTTCCGCTTCCTGATCTTGGTCGGCGCGGTGACGGCAGCCGGGGAGGGGACTAACGGTGCGGGGATGACGGAAGGGATGTCGAAGTTGGTCTTGGCCTTGGCTCCTCTCAGCTTGCGAGCGGCGGAGTCGTAGGCACGCGCCGCCTCCTCCGCCGTGTCGAACGTCCCCAGCCAGTGGCGGCACCGCCCTATCCTGTCCCGTATCTCCGCCGACCAGCGACCCCACGCCCGCTTCCTCACCCCTCGGAAGCTCCTCGCCGCCGGGTGGTGCTGGGGGCCGTCGGCGGCGGCGCGTGTGCTGTTGATGCTCATCGCCCGGTTCCTGTAGCTGGTACCGTACAAGACCTCCTCGCCCACGACGGCAGCTATTCCCTCCAGGACAGGCGAGGCCGACATTTGTGTTCCGGCGGGCGGCGGAGATAAGCTGGAAGACATGATATCCCGCCGAGAAAGTTGTTGTTTTGTTGTGTTGGTGATTTTAGCGTAGCTGTTTTGTTGTTGTCACTCTTTGTAATATGTGGAGAGAGACGGAGAGATTCCTTTTGCAAGAACCGGTTCCCCCAGGTTGATCTGAATTTATAGGGGGTCAGAGATTTCCATAAAATAATGTTCTTTATTCAAAATTATATTCTTCTTGGAATCTTTTTCTTTTGGAATTATTTACCATTTTTCTTATTTTCCCCATATTCTATTTACTTACAACATTTTAACAATGGTTTTTTCTTTGTAATTAATTACTTTTTCTTTTATTTTTTCTCCATACTTCAGGTACTTATAATATTTTGACAATGTTTTCAAATCTATCCCTTTGGAGACATTCGATAAAATTGAAACGATACAGAGAAGATTAATATGATCTATGTGTAAGAATGACACACATAAATCAAGAAATTCAGCACTGTTTATATATAGATATATATAGGTCACATGTCTTACGCATTTTTTTATCGTTGGCTTACTCAGCTCATTCGCGACATGTAATGATTTTGGATTTGAGTTAAAATATGTTGATAATTAGTGGGAAAATTAAATTTTATGGATATGGATATTTAGTTACAATGGTTTTAATAAATTCATGGTGAAGGTAGTAATAAGTAATAACTAATAAGGTGGTATATATGGGAAAAGAAAACTAGTGGAAAGTAAGTAATCAATATTTCTTTCCTGTCGAACGATGGAGGAGACGGTAAGCTGTCTTGTAAGCAGAGCAGGGCTAGGGATATCCCCCGGCACTCTGCAGATCATAACGTCAGACACAGTGAATTAGCCATATATTTGTACTCAACTGAAACATTATATACATTGTGCTGTACACTTCCTTGAGTTTAATATTACTATATAATTTATGTGTAGTGATCTTCTTTTCCACCTCAAGTTAGTTCCCAATTTGGCTACATTTGATATATGATACATCTCAACACATGCCAATATCATCAAATCGAATTGCAACGATTTAAATCGTTGAAGAGGAATTTTACAATGATATATAGCATTGATGCTATAGGTTTTTCCCTTTAAGGTACAACTTGAAGTTCTACTTTTAACGTTATGGTACAACTTCAGATTGTACATATACTCTTTTGTCAAATTGTTTTATGGTACAACTTAAACTTGTACTTTCATTTGATGGTACAAGTTTAAGTTATAAAATTGTATCATAACATAAGAGCACAAATTCATTTATGATACAACCTGAACTTATACATTTAACATTATGGTACAACTTTAAGTTGTACATTACAGTACCAATACTTTATAGCATAGTAGAAGCGCTCATCGTTGAATAGGCTTCTGTTTCGTTCATCTTATAAAATAATTATTGTTTTTGTGACAAAAAAAGTTGGCAACCCGACAAAAAGTTATCTGAAAACGGTGAAATGACTGTAGGTATCTTTCTTGTTGTTTTCAAAAACTATTTTTTGTGGAATGCTATCAATTACTATAATAATTTCATTCAAATGAGTCTGATTAAATCTCACTAGATCCACTTTCTACATATTATCTCTCCCCATTTTCGCATAATAACTCATTCCCAAACCTTATTGCCAATATTATTTTCATATCTTTTTCTCCCTCAGTTTTGCTGATAACTCGTCATGCCACACTTTGTTAGAGATATAGTATAGGACTACAAATATAATTTTGTTGTTTTGTAGATAGTTATGAGTAAGTTGTAGTTTATTAGTACTAGTAGTGGTGGAGGGAGAGTATAAGAGGGTGGGTGCCGAGACCCACCCTGGTTCGGATGGAATGTGGTTAAATTAAGTACAATAGTTAGTCGATACAAAAAATTAGGGGCGTCTTATTGAGAATAGTTTATTGAAACGTGTTGTGTTTGAATCTTTGCGACATCATTTCTTCAGCACATGGTATTTTGATTTGTGAAACTTCCAACAACTTGATTTATTGATATTAAACGATTATTAACAAAGAACATCATTTGAAAATGAATGACTAATTAAATCATGAATTAATATTTTGTGTAAGATTCATTATTATACTTCTCTCAAAAACTCGAGTTGTTGATACTAAATTGTTCTTTACAAAGAACGCCATTCGAAGAGAAAGGCTAACTAAATCATTAATAATTATTTGGTACACAGGGTGATAAATATGATAGTTTAGACTACTACCGTATTTTAATTTACCAAAAAATTTCAATATAAAATTATATCATGAATGATTAGCAAAGTTAAAGCTATTTTATCATGTGTATTTTTCTTCTAAATGGACCCACTTTAGACGAAATTCTGGCTACGCCAGTGAGTACTAGGTAGTAGATAGTAATTTGGTTACATGTATGTAAAAGGCTGTACGTACAGTAGAGAATGATCACCACTTACTCTTTTTGTCTAATGAGAATGATCACTACTTACTCTTTTTGTCTAATGAGAGACCAAGTATTCATCCTCCGCAAACCCTAATTCATGAAGCTAGCTAACACACTATTTCTCTTGTTATTTTCTTAATTTTGTCTTCTGTCTTCTCTGCTTTCAATATTGATACTAAACGGGACCTAATGAAAATTGTGAGTTTCAATGATTTTTTTTGGTAATAATGATTTTTCATAATTATCAACCAATCATGTTTCTGTTTTTTCAATTTTATTATGATGTTGTAGTTGTATATACCTAACTCCTCTATTATCACAGCAATACTACTGAATGAGTACGAAAACCAAAACAGTTCTAAATTAAACAAGCCCTTGCTTTACTGTAATAGTACTTCAACGTGAGGTAATAGTTGTAAAAAGCGATTTACCGCTTACTTAGGACATTTTCCTATAGTAGCTAGAGCCTAGAAGAAGGAAGGAAGAAAGAAGGCCGAAGCAAACTTTTTAACTGACACCAGATGACGGACGGACAGAGATATCAGAATAACAGCAACTCATTGGATCGTCATGGTGGCGTCAATAGACGTGATTGTTTGACTGAGGACAACAAGCTGCTGCGGGGCCCAACTGTTTCCACGTCAGACGACGTACGTCTCTCGTCTCCTGCTTATATATGATACAAAACAAAATCCACAGTTGCTTGCGGGATACGGAGGGCATAGATTCAGTGTTGCTGGGGGCGCACTGCAGTAACCGTGTGCGAGCATGCAATGGACCGACGTACAATAGGCAGCAGTAAGGGAAATGAAGGAAGGATATGATGACGACCGTAACTGTACTCTACTGTTCATATTTTGGGTATGGGTTGCATGGTGTGGCATAATACGTAATAAAAGGGATTCAAATCATCATGTCAAATTGTCAATCACGGCCAAATTAATTGATTAATATGGGTTGCTTCTATTTTTTTCCCTCTCTTTTATTTGCTTCTTTCTTTCGTTGTAATTAGTAAGTACAGTTCATTTTTTCTTTCTGATGATAGATGGATGATTGAATGGTCTTTTCTGTCTATGAGAGAAAGATTTTGAGTGGGGGGGATAGGCAGCAAGATCTTTGCGATTAAATGATGATTCGACTGTAATCTTCTCTAGGTTGTGTCAGGCAGGCAAAGTTTTGCCTGGACGATAGAAAATGATTTGTATTTATTTGGGCAGTATGGTATCTATCTTATTTATATTTAGGGCATGTTTGGAAGTTAGGATTCTCTAAATTGATGTATTTAATCAATGTATGTATTATAATTAGATGCATTGTTTCAATGTATGAATTTGAAAAATACATTGTTTGGAGATTGAATGATTTTGGTGGTCCCTCAAAGAATAAGGAACAAAAAGTAAGACAACAATCCCTCAAACACAATATCTGCTAAAAGTTGAGATTGACAATCATTCATAATGGATGATTCTGGTGGGCCTATCTGCTGTTCAAATACAAGCATTCTGTTTCATTTTAAGCCAAAAAAACAATGAATTCTTCTGATTACATGTATTGGCTAAATACATCATCTGAAATCCCAACTTCCAAACGAGCCCTTAGTATTTGTTAAACCATGTCATAGCAACGGTCCAATATAATCCAAAAACATTTTAACTCAGCTCAAATTGAAACAATTGAATACTATTAAATCACAATAATACCCCATTATTGAGTTATCCGGTACAACCTCCAACCCGAGTTTAGAGTGCTTGATATATATACAAGATAATTCTTTACAATACCAAGTTTTTAGAGGTCAAAATGTGACGAAAAACAGAAGACAACCTACAAATTACGGGCTAGCCTTTAAAGTTACGACTCAGCTTTTTAATATGCCCTTCTTGACTGTAACTAGGGCCTCGAGTGGTAGAAACCATTTCAGGAGTTACGACCTGAACCGTAAAAGTTATGACCATAACATGGGAGCCTAACTTGGCCTCTGCTACGTGTAGAAATTTGTTTTTGGAAGTTTTAGAAGGGGACGGCTGGATTTTGAATCCCAAACATTCATAAATGAAAATTTAAAATGGTTTCTTTTAAACACACGTTGAATCGACAATATATTTCAATCATATGTCATACACTCAAATTCTTACAGCTATAGAAATAATTCGGGTTTATACTTATCATTTTATTTATTACTAATTTAACTTGATCTCAATTTTTCATTTTGCAGAATGCAATAGCAAATGATTCTCATTCCGATGATCCAAAATTCTGTTGATATTAATTTTTTGGGTGTGCCTACGGTGACATGCATGTTACGGTGACTTGCATGTAACGGTGACTTGCACTTTCCGATCGACCTCAGTTGGAATTAGGTCGACCTCATTTAGAATTCGGTCGACCTCAGTTGGAATTAGGTCGACCTCATTTAGAATTCGGTCGACCTCATTTAGGATTCGGTCGACCTAATACTATATGAGGTCCAAAGTAGACTTGACAAACACGTTGTCAGACTTAGCCATTTTCAGGCAGTTTCCCAGTTTTGGCATAGCCTTTTGGTCAGGTTCGAAAATGGTCTTCTGGACTTTTTATTGAGCTCCCAAGTACTTTAATGTGTAGA